ATTTTAATTATACTTCATGTGTGTGTTTAAAAGAATTAAATGACACTGAAAAAAGGAAATTGGAAAGAGACAATTGTCCTGTTTATGGGTCACAACCGAATGCACAAGTTTTATTCACCGTTTGATTAAGTTCAGTCGTTTATTGAATGCCTACTGTGTGCAAGACAACATGATGGGTATAGTACTGTAACAGTGACAGTTAACGATTACTGTATCAACAGTCATAAACACTGGTCGATTGCTTACTCTGTGCTAGGACCACAACCTGATGGGATAGGTACTATTGTCATCTGCATTCTATGTATGAGAAGGCAAAAAAAGAAGCAGCTTGCCTAAGATTATACAGGTTAAAGGCAGAGCCCGGATTTAAACCCAAATGGACTGACTCCAGAGACTGTACTGTTAATCTCTAAAATATGCTATCTTCTCTGCCTTTGAGTTGTTTGGTTATGGTGAAACCTGATTGAATGTAAGTAGTAATGTAGAAAATAGTGAAATCAGTGCCATAACTGAGGTATAAACAAAACATGGAAGCCTGAAGAAGGAAGGGGTTGATCTGACTGCAGGAATAGAAGATTTCACGGAAGAAATGGTGTATTTGTTGACTTTGCCACATACGTAGCCAACCTGTAGGTGGAAAATGCGTAGACAGGCACGTTAGAGAGGAAGAAATTAATTCGCACAGTGGTAAAAACGGAAGTGTGCCTGGGAAAACCGCAGTGATCCGGTGGGACTGGCACACGTGATGCGTGTGAGAAAGGATTGGGAAACGGGGGCTAGTGTTAGGTGAGGCTCTCGGTTTTCGTGCAGAGTATTCTGGACTTTAGGCAATATTAAACCGCTGACGATTTTTGTAAGAGTAGTGATCTGCTCTGGGAAGAACATGTTTCTGAGGTTTCTAGTCTGAATGAGTAGAAGAAGCTTGAGTTCCATAAAACTCAGAAACAATCTTTGTGTACTCATTCTGGCATTAAAAAGAGGCTGTGCGCAGTGGCTCACACCTGTAATCCTAGAACTTTTGGAGGCCAAGGTGGGACGATTGCTTGAGGCCAGGCGTTTGAGACCAGCCTGGGCAATATAGCAAGACCCCACCTCTACAAAAAATTTAAAAATTAGCCAAATGCGGTGGCACATGCCTCTAGTCCTAAGGCTCAGCCAGGGGGATTGTTTGAGCCTGGGAGTTGGAAGTTGCAGGGAGCTATGATGATGCCACTGCACTCTAGTCTGGGTGACAGAGCAAGACCCTGTCTCTAAAATAACCAAAATAAAACAAAATAACTTTTTTGGTGGGAGGTAGTAACTAGAGGCGACTTAAGTGTTCTGTTAGTTTTTAAGTTCGTCAACTAGCAGAAATTTCATTAAAAGAAAGAAAGAACAAATACAAAATAAAATGTTCCCCTCACATCTAGTACAGTTTAATGGAAGACACGGCAGACTAATTTGTTAAAAGGTTTTTGGATTTCAGACTGGCTCAGGACCAACTGTGTAAACATATGTTAAACAACAACAACAAAAGATACAAAACCGAATTACAATATTGTAAAACTGAAAATATTACATTTTTAAAATAGAGTACTTTTCACTTGATATGCTAACAAAAACAATTATTTCTTCTTACTGCATTACACAAGCTTTTAAAAATAGCTTCATTCTGTCAGATACTAAGCCCTTTAGATAAATAAAACAGAATATTCAGGAGAGAGTATTATTTCTAGCTCCCTAAGCCAGGTGCCCTACATTGACTTAATGCCATTCATTCTGAGATATATTTGAAATTCTTCCATTCATGCCTTGGCTACATTTAGGTACTTAAACCACATTAGTACAGAAATAATTTTCCTTTTACATTTGATGTGAATAATGATGCTAGTAAAGCTTTGTTACTAAATAGTTGTGAAAATTATAGATTTAGAAAAAAATTGAGTGACATTTGAAGGGGGGTAAAAAGGTCTTGAACTTTCACAAGCTCAGTTAGTTCTTGTCATGTACTTGTCTCCAATGGGTTTTATCATTGGTAGTGGTATAGTTGTCCAAACACATTTATCTGTCTTTCCATGCATATGCCTATTAACATGTAGTAAAGTGATGGAATTGGCACTTTCAAATATAATATTTTAGGCCCAATAACCTTGGAAATAAAGCTGCCATTTCTGGATAATATTACGAGGAAGGTAAACTGAAAAATGCTACCACAAATAACAAAGAATTTCAAGACTTCACTAGTTTAACATGACACTGTCTTATGTTGAGACTGGCCCTTTGGGACAATCTTTTACTCATAGTCAAGTATATTCTTTAATGCTGGTGATGATAAGTACTTTTACAGCCAAGTTATTTAAATACTAAAAACAGCCTCACTTTCCCCATCAGTTTTTCTTAACGGGAACTGATAACTATAAAAATTTAGGGGTTTTAAAAACTCTTTATTGCAGTAAGTGCTTACAGACCAGTAAAAAATTTGAGTTTCTAGTTTATAGAAGAGAGAGATTGTAGCATAAAGAGCCTCTGGTGCCTAGTGGTATACAGGACTGTAAGAGAAAAGAAAAGGCTTGGCAAGGCTGTTTGAAAGTTCTAGTGGGAAAGTATGACGGTTTAAATGCCTTTAACGGGGACTTTTGGGAAACGCTTGGAATGGTAGCTAGCTGATCAGGGTTGCCAGAAATTGCAATCAGATTTTATCCAAATGTAACAAGGCCTAGCATGTGACAGTTCTTTGTATTGATAGGTAGGTAAAGGAATTGATCTATCCAGCTGGATAAAGGAGGGAAAGACAGAAGGAAAGACACCATGCCATCCTAATACTCCAGAGAACATGCATATATCAGGAAGAGAAAAGGGCTCTGGGCAGAACCAAGGTCACACTAGCAGTTGAAGGGGCAGAGAGAGAAGATCGATCTCTGGAAGAAGGCCAAAAACAAATGTTAAGAGACTGGCGTTTTGAAGTGAAGAGAAGGTGTTTGAAAAATGGAAAAAGAGACAATTGGTACAGAGATATCAAACAAGAGGATTGAGAAAAATCCATTGTCTTTGTCAAGATATCATTTAAGACCTTTGCCAGACAAACTTTGTTAAACTTTCAGGGGATTTCATTAGATTGTGGCTTTAAGAGCGATTAAGCAGTTAAGAAGTTGGAGACTCATAATTAATGACCTAAGTCAACTTTGCTTTAACCCTTTGAAGATGTCATGTTTTCTTTCACAAGCCAAGCTAGACCATATGTTGTTGTATAGGAAAGAAACCGTTCTTGTAAGAAAAAAATTTATTTTGGCTATTAATACTTCTCAGTGCTGAAATCTCCCGTGGAAATTATCCATTTCTTCCTCTACTTTCTGCCTTACTACCAGCCAGGGGAGACTGAGAAATTTTCATTAGAACAATTTCAATGTCTTATAAGTAAATATAAAATACAGAAACCTGTATTTTACACAAAAAATAATTTGGATGGTAAAGATTCACTATTGAGTTTTATTGTTGTGGTTTGAAGGAGTCCAAAAATAATACCTTCT